GGCGAAGTAAATTATGATATGATAGTACTTGTGTGAGGCTAACTTCATTTCAATATTTTATCTAGAACCTCTTTCGGAATCATTGAAAGGTATAGAGTTTTATTTATATTTTTGCTTTTCATTTATTATCATTTTTTTTTGTTTTGATTTAACGTTATGTTCTTTTTTTTCTGGGGGGGGGGGGTTAAAAATTTCTCCCTATTTCATTGTCAAATAGGATTTGTCAAACTTTAACCAACTTAAAGTTGAAATGACGGAAAATCTAATTTTTTCCATTAAAAAGTATTTAAACCTGATTCTGGTTTGATTTCTAAAACCAAGTGGAATATCATTCTTTAAGCAAGCTCTATGAGGAGGAATATTAAAAAGAAATTTTATTTTCTTGACAATAAAAGAATCCCTTTTCAAACAAAATTTTAGCATTGAAAGACTACGCGAATCTCTTAATTATTTCATACAACTTTTTGTATTTTTCTGGTTACAGGAAATGTAAAAATTAGTTTCGATGTAAAGAAGATATCAGAAAGTGTATAATTTGTATCACTTTAAAAGGGGTCATTTTTCAATGGGGGTCATTATTTTATAGGACTAACAAATAAAATAATGACCCCCTAGGACCCTTTTTCTACAAAAAATGATTTTTTTCTACGGGTGGGGGTCATTTTTTGTCGTTGAAAAATGACCCCCCGGTCATTATTCGATGGGGGTCATTATTCGTCTTTACACCGGAAGTACAATTAAGTTAATTCTTAATTTTACGACTTTTGGTGAAACATGCCCCGGGAGAAGAAAACAAGATTTTTAAAGAATTAATGCATTTTCACTATATAATCAATAGAGCCCCGCCCTAACATCAGAACCCTTGACCCTGGGGTCATAAAATTTACAATTTTAGAAAGGCGCTCTTGCTCATCATAACTATGTACTTGGTTAGTTTATTTAACAGCCAGGATCAGAGAAAAAGATTTTCAAAGAAATAATGCATTTTTACTATATAATCTATATAGCTCCGCCCTAGCACTAGAACCCCTGACCCTGGGGCCATGAATTTCCTAATTTGGGTAGAGGACTCAATGCTCATTACATTCATGCTAACAGTTTGCCTGCTTGATGTCCAGGAGTAAAGAAGATGACTTTTGAAGATTGCAATAATTTTAGTGCTTTCGGTCCCACCCCTCAGGCCCAAGGGGGGGGGGGGGGGCAGAGACCTTAACATTCACAATTGATGTTCCGCTTCACCCATAGATGCTGTATACCAAATTTGGTTGAAATTGGTTCAGTGGTTTCAGAAAAGAAGCTGAAAATTTTCAAATGTTAACATCCGACAAACGACGCACGACGACGGACGAAAACGGATAACAATAGGTCACCTGATTCAGGTGACTCAAAAATCGAAAATTGAACAAACCAGGTTATACATGATAATTTGACCAAGAATTAAAGTCATTCCTTATAATTTAATTTTAAAATGAAAAAACAACTGTGGATGTAAAAGTGTGCTGCTTTTTACGAGTTCAAATGCCGCTCAATAATACAATCGTAGTAATGGAAGTGATAAGAAATGAGGGGAGGCAATACCAAGGTAACTGTTACACAGACCTGGCAGCCATGATGTTTGTTTATATGAGGTAAGATCGAGCTAATGTTTGAAGTTAAAGGTACATTTATTCAATCTGGAATTTCTCATGAATTCCAAGGACTGGAAATGTATGGATATAGATGATTCAGCTGGTTGTCAAGGAGGTGTGTCCCCATACCAAATTATTTGTACAAAATAATTTGCGTTCCTCTTCGGAAGTCAACCAATGAGAGACTAGGATGCAAACAAAATTAAATTATATCTTTATGGAGAAATACTTGAAGTTAATCCAGTTGCGTTCTACAGCAGAGCTATACAGCTAACATACTTTTTATAACATCGTGATACATTCCAGAAAGAGAGAGAGAGAGAGAGGAGAGAGAAACGGCAACTCGGCACCGTAGATGTCGTGGGCCTACAGTGACCATTTCAAACCATACTTACATGATTACATTGTAAGCAATAAACTTTTTTTGATGAAAATGTAATGAATTTTAAAAATTTGTGACCAAATTTACAAAGAAAAATTTATTATTTGAAGCGCTAGAAATTTATCATGCTTCTCTCTTTTAGTACGAAACAAATGACTGATTGAAACCGGAAATCCCAAACAGCTGTACATATACAGTGTATGTTTGAACAGGTCGGAGAGAATACTCGAAATCAGATATTATCCGTGAAATCGCATATTATACTCGATATTAGGGTATCGTTGAATCCGCGAAATCGGGTATTCCGTGAAACTTTCTATAAAAACTAAAGAATAAAACAACGGCGCATTATGTCAGTAACTGTTACTTGTACAACGGTATCTTGTGGATTTAATTTTTTTTAAATCCTAATTCATACGGATGTCAAATAAGTTTAAAATCACACGACAAACACTGCTGGGGTAACAAAGATGACACAATGGCGTTATTATTTTTCAATATAATTTCTAAAAGCAAATAACTACACTTCGTTTGTCTTTATTTCCCATTAAAGTATTCTATATATACCTAATTTTCTAATTTGTGCACCATTCACAAAACGTGAAATTTTAAAGAAATTAAACGACTAACGCCATGTTATGTATTTTACGGAAAAATGTATGGCGTCCCTTTCTCGTGAAATATAAATTATTCCTAACAGTTAGAGAGTACAGTCATAATTGTATATCTCTGCCATAATAGAATACCGGCGTTTTAAAGAAAATAAAATTAAATTAAATAAATACCCACGGGAAAACAGCTTATTGAAAATAGCTTATTGAAGGTGAGTATCTTTTTTTTTTTGGTCAATTTAGCATGAAATTTTTATTCAAAGACATCGTAAATTTTTGGGTTGCATTTAAATCGATACAAGATATGTAATTTAACATTTATTTTATGCATTTGTGTGAAAATTGAGAGCGAGAAGTCATATGAACAGGATTTCCTTTTTTTTGGGGGGGGGGTATAAATAAAGGTCAAATGTGTGCATCTTTTCATGAGCTTATAATACATTGAATTTCTAAATATATATCGAGGTAGATTCATATTGAAATATGAATTACATAGTCAGTCAAGTTTTCACATTTTTTTTTTAGTTTTTGCGTTTATGAGCATGTTAATGAACAAACTGAAATAATGGAGTGTTCAATTGCCTTGGAAACTCTTGTCTTACTTTTTGGGAATATAATTCATCATCGGACATTAAAATTTCATAAAAATCGAAGCCACTGCCTTTCTTTATTATACTATTTAATAGACAGGGTAAATTTTCCCTCTTTACCTTCTATGTTTTTTTTATATCGCTATCTTATACCTCATTATAATATGCTAATACAACACACTTTTTTGTCTTACTTTTTGGGAATATAATTCATCATCGGACATTAAAATTTCATAAAAATCGAAGCCACTGCCTTTCTTTATTATACTATTTAATAGACAGGGTAAATTTTCCCTCTTTACCTTCTATGTTTTTTTTTATATCGCTATCTTATACCTCATTATAATATGCTAATACAACACACTATCTGATTGGTTCTAGACAATATGTCACAGTTGTCGTGTTGATGTGGAATTATTATAAATTCCCGAATTCTGATACTTTACAATTCTGTTGTGTTGGGAATGAACATTTGGAAAATGCATATACTTTCAACATAAGGAGAAATAATCAAAGTACTCAGAAGTACAGAGAGCCGGGCTCATTTACAGAGTAGAATGGATTCCTTACATGAATCACCTTTATATTCTGATGAAAAAATTATTTTAAAACTATCAATGTAAATGGTAAGACACTGACAGTGAGTTTTCCAATCCTAATACCACGGTCTGATTTTGTCAGAATCAGAATTAATCTGGTACCGCAGCTGAATGTAAACAAACAGCCCAGTCTGGTTTTCTCTCTCCTGCTTTACCTCGTGTGTGTAGAGAACTACGGTAACAATGATTATCAAAAAATCCTTACGCTAATGACCTATGTTCTTTGACTTAAGAAGTTTTCAAAGTCATTACTACTAATGTTTATTTTATATAGATAAAACTTTTATTTTTGTTGCTTTATTTAGCATTTGTATTATCTCAAAAGCGGTTGAGAGTGAGAACTGTACTTTTGCACGTAACTTTAAAATGGCGACTATGGGGTTAGCATTCTGCCTTGAACAGGATCGCATAAGCCGGCAATTGCTCTTTGAGCAATAAGCCCGGCTAAAAAGCAAATCGAACGCCTTTTTGTGTGCATATCATGAAATGACTGAGCTCCACGGGTATTTGTTGTCCCGAGCGCATTAATCTTAACGCCCAAATTCTTACTTGGCTAGTAATACCTATAGAAAACATGTGTATTTAGATGAAAGTTAACTCAGCAACATGTGCTAACCCATTGTTTAAGTTTTATTAGGGGATTACACCTCCTATACTCGATTTCGCGGATTCAACGATATCCTAATATCGAGTATTATACGCGATTTCATGGATAATACCCGATTTTGAGTATTCTCTCCGACCTGTTGAATTGTACAGAAGTCAACGAGCATCAAGCTACTTGCAGACATCTCAGTCTATAACGTTACGCAACAACTACTTTGATATATCATTATTTGTAGGGAAAGTTGTTCCGCAGAATTGACACTGTATAGAGTTTTATCTTGGGAGCAGTTCATGAAATGCTGATAATGTTCATGAAAGGCTGATAATGTGCTCATCTCTTCATATCCCCTGAACCCACCTCTGATGATTTTAGAGGTTTGCTGTTTCTATTGTTTGACTGGACACTATAAATAAATGCATCGTCAACCTCACATATAATGTTTATATGATGTAGTTCAGCGTTCTTAATAGCGGTCTATGTATTATTGACAGGTACAATCTGTTTTCAAATGCACCACCTAACACTTGAAAAAAAATTATGAAAAAAACAACTCAAACCAGAAATTTATTTTATTTTATTCACACAATTTTCAGGGCAGCCCTGTTGGTTGTGGTGCACATTCACAAAGCGGACACCCCTGAGAGTCTAGGCGGTATCCAGTGTAACAAGTCTTAGAGCAGTTGAACACCCCCGGACATATGATTCTCCGTAGAGTACTGCTAGGTAGGCGTGTCTTGGTGATGGGCGTGGTCACTGAAGGCGAGATCGTGAGGTGAGCCGGGAAACTAACGGGCTAATGTAAAATTCAAGTAATAATTAAGTAGGAATATTTGTTGTATTACCACTAAAATTACTATAGTTGTTCACAAATAAATTTTGCATTGGTTCTTAAGTTAGTTTAAAGTCAAGTTAAGTGAAAATGAAATTTCAATATACTTGTATAATATATCAATTAACGTGCTTTCAGACAAGGTTTACCTTAAATAATGTTGTGGACATATTGGTCTTTAGGGTAGTTGGAACTGAAATATACATGATACAGCAAAACTCGCTTAGTACGAACACGGATATTGCGAATTTACGGATATATCGAAGTCATCTTGGATCCCCAGCTAAATAAATTCAATGAATTTCTTATACGGTTATAACGAATTACGGATATAGTGAAATTATTTCATAGATCCCTGTGACTTCGTTATAACCGAGTTTTGCTGTAATAGAAATTAATTGTGAAGATGAATTAAAAACATATACCCTCAGTAATCAATGTACTGATATTCGAATTGTTCTTTCTCTCTAAAGTCATTCCGCAAAATAAACTTACCCGTTTTACATGAACAGCTAGGACAACCATCGGGACCCGGTGTGGGACCGATCACAAATCCATTCTTACAGCTTAGAATACACTGTATAGCGCCCGGACAAGAATTGACGGATTTAGTTGAAGAAGCTGACGAGACAGAGAGAGGCGGTACTGCAGTAGTTGAGATTCTACTCGAAGATAGAGGCTGTGTCGTCGATGGTGTTGTGGTTTTTGTGGTAGAGGGTTGTGACGTAGTGCTAGACACGGATGATGTAATTGCCTTCTGTGACGTTGTAGTGAATTGTGTTGTGGCTGTTGTAGAAGGTGTCTGTGACGTCATTTTACTAGATACACGTGAGGTAGTTCCTGTCGTCGTTGCAGCTGATGTAATCGTTGATGATTTGGGTGTCTGTGAGGCGGTGCTTCTGTATGACGTCGTGACTGGCTGTGATTGTGTAACCGGCAACGATGTCATTATTTGGGCTGCAAAATCATGAATAGAATTTCATCAGTTAGAGGCTATCTAGAAAAATATTGAGATCAAACGTTTTTATTATTTCTATAGTGAACCTCCTTGCCTGTTTCACATAATAACAATAAATGTTCTCTTTTTGATATAGAACCATTTCCAGGTAAGCTTGGACTTTCAGTAAGGCGTTGCATTCTCGGCGCTACAGCTGTATAGGTAATTAGGGTACGTCAAATTGCGAATAGATTCTCATTGGTTAAGAAATTAATAATACATGTATCAGGAACTTAAAATTGATGTTGACAACGATGAGACGACTTAAACCCCACTTCTTTGCCAAAAGAAACCTTGTTATTGGCTATTTTCTGTACTCGTTGACATTCGCCGGAATTTCTATCCCATGTATATTTCAACAGTGTAGAAAGCTGTGTAAATTTCAGAAGCTAATTATATAATGTCGAGAATGCCACTTTCACTGAAAGTCCAAGCAAAGCTGGGAATTGTCCTAACTGTAAAAAATTACATACGGCAGTTGCACTCTACACAACCGGAAGCGGGGTTGACAGCTGCTGCGCACGGTGACCGACAATTCATCCATTTTGTGTTGCAACCAGTGCCTATCAGCGTTACTTGACCTTACAAGGAATCAAAGCATTGATAAGAAAATAGTGTGCAATTAACCTATAGACAAAGTATTTATATATTAGATCAAGAAAACAGTTAAGGGTTAGATTAGGAAGACAGTGTGTTTCCTATGCACTTCCAAGGAAATAATAGTTGACACATTTCATTGTTGAAATGAAATAAATGTAAAAAAAAAAATCTTGACGAACCAAACGAAAAGAAAGGAGAGAAAAATAAGAAAAAAAAATAATGGTAGAACAATTCTGAGTTCTTTTTATCATTGTCTCTATAGAAACTAATAATCCTGTAAAATTCCTTCAAATATTTTTTTTTACGAAGGACCTTGAAATTTTTTTTTTATAAAAAGAATATCAGCAAGCCTCAGGGGCACTATAATTATGGAATGGAGAGTACATGTGCATACGAATTTGTAATTCTATTGAGAGAAGATCTACACTTCGACATTCACGTTTTAGCCTCTCGCCAGGTAGGCCTTTTTTTAATTGATATTTATAACCTCCTGAATTCATCTGCTGGGTTGGGGTTTCCCCCCGAGATTCCCCCGGGTGTGACGATATGTTCTACGTCACAATCACAACCGGAAGTCGTCAAACCATTAGGACAAAAAAATTGGTTGACATGACCCCAAAGGTTGTTTTTTGTAATTGCAAACAGGAAGGCTGCGATAAAAAAGAAACAATTTGAATATTAATGTATTATCTAAATGTGAAAATAAAATCAGAATCACAAATTTCTTTTTTGTATTTAAAAAAACATGCATGCGACAATTAAATTACAAATTCTTTTTTTATTGCCTTTCAACATATTAATTTTTTTTACTAAATCTTCAACAAAAATGATAAGGAATACCAATTTTAAAACTTTTTTCTCCTTTTCAATTTTATTTTATGCTTAATACCAAAAGGAAATTTAAACTAACAAACTGAAATCTTTGTTTATAAACAGAATCAACAGTAAGTCCATTAGAACCAGCAGTGAAATTTAAAGAGGTCCTCCTTTAGAAAAAACAATAAGTACCCCCCAAAACAGAAAAAATTATGTATCCCCTCACAATGAACGCTATTCACAACAAGTACGGGAATATTTCAGGTCTTATATTGCTCGTTTTTGAGCGCCATTAAAATTTTAAAAACAAAAAATTTGCATTGCCTGACCCTATGGATATAAAATTTTTACAATGAATATACTTGTAGAGGTTTTGAGAAAGTATAAGTTGGGGGTTAAAGGTAAAGAAGTGAATGGATTAGGAATCTTCCGCAGACGTACATTGCTTGAGATAATATAATATACTGATTACAGTTATATTTTCGCCCTGTGTTACAGTGGCGTAGCATGTTTTTGAAAGTGGGGGGGGGGGCCAGAAAAAAAAAATTTTATTACCTGAAAAAGTTGACAAAAAAAAAAAAAAAATTTAAGTTACCCAAAGTTGAAAATCCTTTTCGGGGGGGGGGGGGGGGGGGGGGGGGGGGGGTTTAAAACCCTTTTTTCAGTGTCAACTACTTTTGTCCAACTCTAATCTACATTTTCGGGCATACTAAAATGGGGGGGGGGGGGTTCAACCAAGCTTTCAATTAACATTTCCTATAGTATGAGTAAGGTTGGGGGAAAAAAAGGGGCCCAGCCCCCCCCCCCCCCCCCGTTGCTACGCCCCCGGTTTTTTCGCCCTTTCCCCCTTGTAAACTTTTTCCCCGTTTTTAAATTTCGCCTAATCACAGTTTTGTTTTGAAAATTATATTTTTTTTAAT